TGGGCCGGAGGTACCTGGTCACAAACCATCTAAAATGAACAGGTGATCTGAGGCGCGAGTCTGGCCTGCTTACATCACCAGCAATGGGCACTCTCCACCTCTGCCCTGCTCTGTATTTCCAAGACTACTCTCTCCTGGAAATTCTTCCATGAACTTAACTGGAATTGGCTCTCCTGTCTCTGGCTCAGTGATCAAGGCTTGGGCATCTGGAAATGGCAACCACTGATATTCCTCTTGTCCCTGATGGCCCCACAAAGTTGTAATTAGGACAGCATTCCTCAGGGTCTTGAGTTTAGGAACCTCTCCCTACATATCCTCCCTCCAGGCTCTCCAGGATAGCAATTGGCATACTTACTGAAGCCTCTGTCCATCCATTGTCCATCAATCCATCTGTCTATCCATCCAAGTCATACCTGAGTATTTCAGCCTTTACCTTCCTTAATTAACCAGTAAGTGTGGGGGTGAGCCCCATCTCAGGGCAATTGCTGGGGCAATGGAAAAGCTTGCTTACTGCCCATTGAATTATCCTTCCTATGTATACAGTGGATGTCACAATACCAGCCTCAGAACACTGTTGTCAAAAAGAGAGGGGACTAGTCTGGCTAGCTGTTTAAGGGTGGTGAGTAATGACTCATTAAATCCACAAGCAAGTGGGCTGATCCCCTCCTGGGGCCCCAGCACCAGCAGCAGTCACAGAGTTACATCCTCTGGAAGGGTCTCTAGGTGCTTCTCTGATCCTTCATTTGTGCATGGCCGAGCACTGCCGACACAGACTCTGAGTACCAGTTCCTGCAAGGAGCCAAGCAGCATGCCCGCCACCTTCCTGGAGTTCACAGTCTCTAGGGCATTGTGTTTACTATGTCAGGTTCCCCAATAGCCTTTGTGGTTGGGTTTCTCAGACCACAGGGGACCAGCAACAGGAAAGCAGTTGCTAGTGGTGGAGCAATAGCAGGCACAGTAGCTGCAGGGTCCCTGCTGTCCTGTGGCTGGAGGAGGACAGGCGGGAGCAGCCAGCCACATTGGCTTGCTGGTGAATGTGCAGAATGCTGGCCGGAGCTTTGTCATTAGAGGCAGAGGACTAATTGCTCAGCTTTAACTCCACTCCCATCAATACAGGCTGATTTTTTTTTTAAGGCACTAAAAAATAGAGAGTCCATGAGAGACCAGAAAGGGTTTCCCTTGTAGGTAAGGCACAGTGGGAAACCTGTCCTTTTGCCAACTTGCAGATCTCATTGACTTGCACTCAGATACCTGCTGGGACCTTTCTAGCCATTTTCAAATAGAACCCAGGCGGGTCCAACCTAGTATAGAAATCTTACTGTCTAATGTAGTCTGAAGTTCCTGCTCTCCCAGCTTCACACAGGGAGACTCTGGTGGAAGAGGGGACAGATCCCCTGGAATTCGAGTTATGGGTGGCTGTGAACTGCTGTGTGGGTGCTGGAAACTGAACCCAGGTCCTCTGGAGGAGCAGCCGGTGCTCTTAACTACTGACCCATCTCTCTAGCCCCTCCCACTGGTAAAATTCCAATGCAATTCTTAGACATGCTTGACACTCCCACCCCAGGCTCCACTCTGTAAGCAGCCGTAGCCATACCCTGCCCTGAATTGCTAGGGATGATGAAAGCACTGGTCTACATGATGCCAAAGCTCAGACTCACGTCAGCACCACAGTCTATAGAGTACACAGACTGTGTGCCCTTCACAGTCTGGAAGGCGAGAAATTGGTGACTTCAGTTTGACTGCCCAGTTTCATTCCTGGCACATAAAAACTGAGACCAAAACCCAGGCCTCCCCCAAAGGCTAGAAGTTTATCTGTCCTCCATATTCTTTGTTCTGGAATTCTATTCAAGGGAAGCTTTGAAAAGGCTCTCCCCTGCTTCAAGTGAATCTAGGATGGAGGAAGGGAAGAATGATTCATTTTCCCCAGCCAGGCCACACGGCTATGGTAGCTGAAAGTTTCTCTCTAGTGGAGGGGGACAGGGTGTTGGCTAACTAGTAGGGGCAGGCCGAGGACGCTAGCATCGTGTGGTAGGTCCTGAGAATTGGGTCTGGGAAAGAGATGGAGTAAAGGAGACTTAGGACCAGGCTCCTGGTCTGGGCCATCTGAGCTCAAGTTCTGGCTATGTCCTGCGGGTCATGCAGCCTGTCTTGGTCCCATTTTCCTTATCTGTAAATGGCGGAGGGAGTCATTACCTGGGTTCCTGGGCCTGCCTCAGGACGAGCTCTGATCTGGGTTTGCTGTCCACCCTCATTCATGTGTTTCTCAGATCGACTATGTAGTGAGACCTGTGAGGTCATTCCCACAGGAGAGGAAGTGGAGGCTGGGGATAGCCAGGGCCATGGCCTGCATGTGTGTGGGGTGAGCCACATCTAGGCTGGAATTCCTTCCATCTTCTCGAGCAGGATTGGTTACCTGGTACTGACCTCCAGCACCCTGAGTGGGTCTAGCCCACAGAAAGCTTCCTGACCACACATCCTGGGCAGGCCCAAGAAGGGGGAACTTTCTTGCTCAGAGGGCCTGGTCTGTGTGGCCAACCCTCATAGCCACTAAGGCTGATATGAGCAGGGAAAGGAGGAAGTGGTAGTGGGATGGAGGCCGCTTCTCCAAGTCAGTGGGGCATGTAGGGCAAGGTTCACTGGTGCTCAAAGTGGTCCCCTGCCACATGGCAAAGCTGATCCCACATCTGGCTCATGTGGGCCTCCCAGGTGAAGGGACTGTGTCTACTAACCACCCAGGACCCTGGCCCGACATGAATTATTCCCAGGCCACCAGGCTGGATGTGACTTCTAGTGGCTTTTCTGGTGTTTTTTTCTCTAGACAGTGTTGCTCTGACCACCTGGCACACCTGTGAGTCCAGGGCACCTGGATTAAATCCTAAAATGTGGCCTTGTTTTAAGGTGGAGACAATTTGACTAATCATTTTCCAAAGATATCTTTCGTTTTGACTTGGGTTCTGGGGGTTGGTTTGCTAATATTTTGTTGTAGTTTGTTTCGTTTTTTTGAGACAGGCTGTCACTCCACGGCCCAGGTCAGACTTGAATTCATATTTCTCTTACACTAGTCTCCCAAGTACTGGTATTACAGGCATGTGCGGCCTCAAAGCTATCCTATGTGTGTGGGTGCATGAGAGAGAGGGGGAGAGGAGAGAGAGAGAGAGAGAGAGAGAGAGAGAGAGAGAGAGAGAGAGAGAGAGGCCAGAGTACTACTTCAGGTGTCCTTCCTCAGGAGTCAGTTACCTTGTTTATTGAGACAGTCTCTTTCTGGAACTTGGAGCTCACTAATTCAGCTAGGCTGTGGCCAGCAAGCCCCAGGGATCTGCCTGTCTCTGCCTCCTGCAAGCCAGGGTTACAAATGCATGCCACTATACTCAGCTTTCTTCGTGTGGTTGCTAGAGATCAAACTCAGGTCCTCATCTTTGCAAGCAAGTACTTTACCAGGTGACCCAACTCTCAAGCCCCAAAAGCTATCCCCTCCCCCAACCTTCTACACAAGGGTTTGATTTGAGCCACACCAAAAGCTATCTTTTTTAAATTAAATTTTTGAATGCTTCAAAGTGATATCATTTTGGGGGCTGAATGGCTCAGTAGCCTTGATCTACTGAATGTCTGTGGGGCTGTGGCTTTGGGGCCCAGCCAACCTAGAATACTCCAAGTTCTGTTGAATTGCCTTGGGCAGTCCCCTGCCCTCTTTGGGGCCTCATTTCCATTGCTCCCTTGCTGAGTCTTGGTGTTTTCAGCAGTGCAAAGGCTGGAATGTTCTGGAACAGTGTGTGGTACACACTCACAAACAGAGAGCTTGCTACTGCCAGGCTGTTTCCCCCCCTGTCCAGTATCCCAGCCACTGAAACCTTCGTAAGAGTAAATCCACAGGGAGACAGAGCTCCAAGTCTAAGATCCACTTGCCCAAAGAATAGGACTGGGGGCTATTTATAGGGCCAGGAAGCAGGACGGTCCAATGTATAGAGAGCAAGACTGGAAGCAAAGCAATCTGTGGCCTGCATGTGTGCAAACTTTACAACTCTTCTTGGTTAGGAAGTGGGGGTAATAGCTTATCTGAGGAGAATTTTTGCTTCTTCAGGTAAAAAGTCATCCAAATAATATCTATGAAGACTAGGGTGAAAACAGTGGTGTTTTGCAGTAAAGGCCTTCAGGTTTATGAATAATGAATGGCCTAGACAAACATAGTTTTCATGCCCCTCCCCCAAATCAGTGGTTTCAGCATAGCCAAGCTAGCAGGGAACTGATAATACACAGTTATGTAGCCTCCAGAATCAGTGACTTCTAAAGAAAACTAAAAGTAAGTGACTAGGGAGAGCATGGGGGCTCAGCCAGAGCAGGGAATGGTACAAAGGGCTGGTGAGGGTAATGAGGCTAGGCCTCAGTGTCGGCTGGCTGCTGGCAACCAAAGCCTGGCTGTCCTCCATGGTGTCCCTGGGTGGCTGTGTCCTGGGAATGGCTCAGCTCCTGGAGTGCTGCCTAGGCTGCAGAAGATCCCCATTCACTGCTGCAAAGCCCTTCTCAGGGCAAATGCCTAGCAGGTTGTAGTGGATCCAGTAAGGGCTTCGTTGTCTTAAAAGATTTGTCTTGTTATTTATGTGTATGTGTGCATGTACATGTGGGTGCCTGCAGAGGCCCAAAGAGGGAGTTAGATCCCCTGGAGCTGAAGTTGCAGGAGGCTGTGAGCCACGGGACCTCTGCAAGAGTAGTAAGTGCTCCTAACTTCTGAGCCTTCACTCAAGGCCCAGGCAGGGCTCTATTTTCATGCTTTAGAGTAACATCATGGGCAGGATTTGATTGACAGGCTAATGGTGGACAGGAAGAGGTGAGAAAGGGGGGGGAAGAGAGAGCGAGCTGGGGTAGCCCTGGGGAGTCTGCCGTGGATAGACGGTGGACTTCTGATTGGGAGGTTCTTTCCCACAATCCCCTTCCTTCTTCCCTTGGCAGTGAATCAGTCTGTCTGCTGAGAAGGTGGTGGTGTGGGGGTGAAGGAGGAGGAGAATGAGGGGGCAGGGATGGAAGCAAGGCAGGCAGCCCTGAGGGACTAGACACTCCCTTAGAACAGCTGGATCACTTGTGACTGTGGCTCATTGTGCCTGACGCCACCACAGCGGCAGCACACAAGGGCTGGATGGGAGTCTCTAGCCTGCTGCAGGTGCCGAGGACACTAGCTCCTGAAGACCTGGGCTGCAGGGCCCCTTGCTGCCTTTCATGTCCTCCAGTATGGCCGGTGTGAGTCTGGTTGGCTTTCCTTTTTCTACCCTGGGACTCAGAGGACAGAAAGAGCCCCTTGGAGATTCAGGACTGGGCATGGGGGAGGAAGCATAGACCGTTAGCCCTCCCTGCAAAAATTCCTCAGAGGAGAAAGTCTCCTGAGGGGCTAGGTTCTAGTTTGTAATAAAGCTCCAGGCAGGCCCTTCCCTTCTCTGGGGCTCAGTTTCTTAAGGGCTGAGGGGCACTGGACAGATTCTTCACAGTTCTGGGGTCTGTGGTTTTGTGCCCTGAATGTTAACACAAGCTCAGTGACCCCCACAGGGAAGGGGGGTATCTGTGGCTTCTGACTCACTTTTTCCTCATGCTGCTACAGACTTTGACCTGGGAGTCCCCAGGGAGGGCAGAGGTCAAGAGTGGGAAGCTGTGCTCTAAACTCGGAAAGAAAGGGGGGGGAGGGGAGGGAGGGAGGGAGAGAAAGAGAAAGAAAGAAAGAAAGAAAGAAAGAAAGAAAGAAAGAAAGAAAGGAAGGAAGGAAGGAAGGGAAGAAGGAAGGAAGGGAGGAAGGAAGGAAGGGAGGAAGGAAGGAAGGGAGGAAGGAAAGAAAGCTGACCTTTAAAGACATAAAAAATGAGAGCCTGGCTCCGGATGGTACAGCCTAGACTTGGAAGGGAGATGCCTGCCCCTAATGGGCCTGCAGCAAGTTGCAGGGGCAACTGTCTCAGGTTGGGGTATCACATAGCCAGCTAAGGCTATTATTAAAAATCAAGAAAAGGACTGAGGGTATGGCTTAGGGTTAGGGCAATTGCCTAGAAGACCTGGGTTATACCTCCAGTAAGTTTCTTACAGGGGGATTTGGTGGACCTCAAGATCTACAGAGAATCAGATATTGGGAAGAGTACAGGGGGCATAAGTGCCCCCCACCCCTGTCTACATTCAGCCAACTTGAAGTGTTGCATCTCTCTGTAGAATTTCAGCCTGTAAGCTCATATCCCCTTTTCTGAGCAGTGCTGAGCCTAGGGTCAGCTGTCCATTGGCCACTAAGCTGTGGATCTAGGCCTTAGCTGGCTCCACAAGGCTTATGCACAAGGTCAGCTGCTTCCCAGAATCCCCTAGTTAAGAGATGACTCCAGCAGGGGATGCAACAGAACTTGAGCCAGGCCAGGTGTTCTATGACCAGTCACCACTTTTACCTCCTGAACATGCTTCCTTACTTAGCTCAAGTCATGAGGTCATAGGGCACAAGCCACACCAGGCATTTAATTAGAAAGAATCTGGGGCCTGGCTGTCATCACGGAGCCTCAGTAGGGCCATTCTCATCTACCCACTGTCTTGTGTTAAATCTGCTGTATCAGACTCTTGAGGCCTGACAGCTGTGGTCCTGGAACCTCCATGTATGGGGTGGTACTGTGTACCAGCATGAGGCTGGCCCTAACCTGTAGGTGCTTGACCAGGGACATGGAGGCCAGAAAGAGGCTGTTCTCCAGAGGTTGTCAGCAAGGTCCTTGCTGTCCTACTGGGGTCCTCATGAATGTCCAATGTTACAGTGCAGGGACTTCACGGCCCACACGGGATATGAGGTACTGCTGCAGCGGCTGCTGGATGGCAGGAAGATGTGCAAAGATGTGGAGGAGCTGCTCAGGCAGAGGTAAGCAGGGCTGGGCTTGGGTGGTCAGAGCAGACAGGGAAGGGAGTGGTTACGCCCCCTAGAGCCCAGCTGCTCTCAGTATGGGTCTGCTTTCAAAAGCTAAGAGCTAAAACTCCTCAGATGGTTCAGTGGGTCGATCACTTGCTAAACAAGAATAGGGACATGAGTTCAAATCCCCTTCAAAACAAGAGGGGATGCAGTGACAAGATCCCCAGAGGCCTCCTTGGTATCTCTGCAGGATATAGTATACGAACATATGAAATCTTAAAGGGGGTGGAGAGGGTGGGGAAGTTGTCCTTTGACTTCCACAGGTACGTTGTGGTACCTATACACCTGGACTCACACACACACACACACACACACACACACACACACACACACACACACTCATACATTCACACACGAGCCAGAGCTCTCTGTTGTCTCCTGCGGCTCCTGGGCCTGGGCCTCCTCCAAGGGGCATACCATGTAGCAGCCCTTTGGACAGGCCTGTTTTCAACTAACATTTATCCTCAGAAGGAAACAGCTCAACTTTTTCAGTAGCCATTTTGCCAACAAAATATGATGGGAGAATATGGGTCCTGTACATATTTTGGGGCCATAGCCAGCCAATAGTGGTGGAAGGGACACAGTGCTTGCTCTGTCCTTGCAGGGCCCAGGCGGAAGAGAGGTACGGGAAGGAGCTGGTGCAGATTGCGCGCAAGGCTGGTGGCCAGACAGAGATCAAGTAAGAGTGCTGGTGGCTCCCCCTGCTTCTCTGAGGAATCTTCTGGACTTTACTCGGGGCTTGGGGCTTTCTGATTGGGGTAAACTGGACAGCAGCATCTGGACCCCATGTGGTGCCTGTTACCAGGCATCCTGAGGCCATCATCTTGTATGAGTTTGTGCTCTGGGAAGACCAGGGTTCATGGCACCACCAGCCTCACCATCACCAAGTCAGGAGGGCAGGTGACAGGTCTGTATGCAGCATGCTCAGTGGGCTATGAGTCACCCATGGCTGTCAGAAGGGTGGGAGATGCCACCAACTGACAGCATGATGTGGGTTTGAGCTTGGCATCCTGTGAATGGGGGAGGGGTGGCGCCAATCTCCTGCCCACTGGAGAAGAGTGGTTGTGGGAGTTGAGGTTCTGGGTGGGTCTTGCTTCTTGCTTATAGAAGGCTAGAGGGATGACAGTGTCTGCTTGCCTTGTTTTGTGTATGACCCCAGGAAAGTCACTCTCTGTCTGAATGCCAGGTCCCTGTCTGTGAAAGCAGACAGCTTGCAGTGACAAGCAAGATGAGCTCAGTGAGCAGTGGGGTCTCTGTAGACTCGCCCCCGACCCCTGCACCTGCCCCTCCACACTGCAGGTGAACTCAATGCTTCTTACTTGGGCAGAAGTACCCAATGGCTGGGCTTCCTAAGCCGTTGCTCAGGCTGGCCCTAGTCCAGTGCCGAGACCGGGGGAGATGCTGCACGGTGATCTGGGAGGCAGGCTTCTAGGAGTAGCCTTCATGCAAAGGGATTCCCCAGGGGCAAATGAACCCACAGGGGGCTCTAGCAAGATAAGAAAGTGACCAGAGCAGGCCTAAGTTGGGGCAGGAGAGGAACTGACTAGGGCACTCCTATCATGACTACTTGTGGACAAAGGCTCAAAGATGTGACGATACCTGCATACATAGAGCCCTTGCACAATGGGGTGAAGCCTACCCCCTTCCTCAGAGCTGTGCCACCTGCAGGCCCTGCTGATCCCCACAAGTGATGTTGCTGTCCCATGTGGCACTGTTTCTTTAACTGTGGACCAAGTGTCTGTCGTCTTCCGTGTCCTCAGCATTTATGGAGTATCTGCCATATGTCCTGACCCAAACTGCCAAGGAAGTTCAAGAACTCAAACCCTGAGATGATCTCCTCATTTTCTTTAGCACTTTGCAGCAGACCTTCCCCACAGACACCTCCTCCAAGAGGACCTCTAGATTGCTTCACTGTCAACACAGAGCTTGGTTCAAACAGGGTCATCCCCTCCATTCCAACCTGGAGGGCTCTTGGCAGTGTTGCTAGTCTTAGGGGTCTAGGTCAGGTTCATTTTTCTGGCATATAAGGACTTAAAAGGCAGGTAGAATCTGGACATGACAGGTAGCAGCAGGAAAAATCTTAGACCTGGCAGACAGAATCATCTGCTACAGGAAGGCTTTGGTTAAAGGCACATACCTTTAATCCCAGCACTGAGTTCAAGGCCAGCCTGGCCTTACAGAGCAAGGTCCAGGACAGCCAAGGCTACACAGAGAGGCCCTGTCTTGAAAAAACAAACAGAAGTACACACAGCAAGGCAAACAGAGAAAGAACCCTGCAGTGCAGAGGGGGTACTCAGGAACCCTAAGCCAGGCTAGGGGCCTTGGGGGACCTTTGTGGGGGTAATTTTAAACAAAGGGATGGCTGATCGAACCACAACATGTCCTGATCCAGCCTTGAACTTGTTAACTGGTCTTCTAGCAGGGGTTGGGGGCACAAAGGGGAAGGCAAAGCCCCCTGTCGTCCTTATTACCTACCTTGGCCCCTCCCCCTATCTAGTCCTTCCGCAGGGAATGTGAGTGGGTCCACATTACTTGTTATAGACACTTGTGGGTGGGAAGTGTTGGTCTTTAAAAGGGCCTGGATGGTGGCCATCCTCCAACACCAGTCCCCTCTGCCTGTAAGATAGGAGCAGAGTTGAGTAGATGGAAGGACAAGGGCCTGGGGTGAAGTAACTTCACCAATAGTCCACACTAAGAGAACTCTACTGGTTGCCTCCACTTCTGAGGTCCCCAAACCAGTGTTCTTGCCTGGGCTCCTGGCTCACACTAGCTTGGATCTCACAGGAGGAGGGGCTCAGGCCCCCGGTAATAGCACATGAAATGATAATAAAGAAAATACTAAGTGAAAGGCAGTTCTAGTCGCATCTTAAAATGAGTTTTCTCACACCTCATTCACATGCTACACCAGCGAACCTGCCAAGCTCCTACGTGTTAAAGGACAGCCTAGCTACTGCAGGATCTTATTGTCACTGTCCACACCCCATGACCAGCCTTGCAGAAGGGTTGGCTTGGTTCTCTGACCACTATCACCCTTCCTTTCTCTCTACCTATCCCTATTTGGTCCTCTGGATCTGCCCAAACCCCTACCTTGCCCAGGAAGTGGTCATCTCCTCCCCCTCTTCCTCTTGTTGCCCCAGGAAGGGCACCTCAGAGGATGGAGTGGAGCCACGCTAGTGCTCTGTGAACTCCTCTGTGGTTACAGATGAGCAATGATAGATCAGAGGCATCTTAAGGCCCACCCCACCTTCATCCTCAGAAACCTAAATGCTGAGATTCTTGGGCCAGGGGACGTGTGTGTGTGTGTGTGTGTGTGTGTGTGTGTGTGTGTGGGTGTGTTGTGTGTTGTGTGTGTGTTTGAGCTTAGCTCCACTAAACTCAAAGATGTCATTGAGAAGGGTGGCAACTCTGTTCCCAACAGCTCCCTGTAGGCACAAGGCCTGCTTCCAACTGGGAGGAGGCCAAGGATTGGGGTGCTAAGACGAAGAGACGTAGTGTGGTGAACGCTCTGTGAGGGACACTTATACTATGAATCTAGACTCAAGCCTAGATTTTCTGAGAGCCAAGCCAAATAGCCAGCAGGAAGCCTGTGTGGACACTGGTGGTAGATGACAAAAGCCAGAATCATCCTAACTCCTATCACTCTAGAGAAAGCAGGTCACCACAGCAGACATCCCCTGCCTTCCTCTGCAAAGTGGAAGGGCTGGCCTTGACATTTTGTGCTTTTTTTGGTATTTTTTAATTTACTTTTTATTTTATGTGCATTGATGTTTTGCCTGCATTTATGTCTGTGTGAGGATGCCGGATCTGCTGGACCTGGAGCTACAGACAGCTGTGAGCTGCCATGTGGGTGCTGGGAATTGAACTCGGGTACTCTGGAAGAGCAGCCAGTGCTCTTAACCACTGAGCCATCTCTCCAGCCCTGACATTTTGCTTTTAAGATTTGTTACAAACGTGTTTGTCAGTATATCTGTGTGGATGTGTGCAGATGTCCATGGCGGCCAGAGGTATCAGGTCTTTCCTGGAGCTGGAGTCACAGGGGTGTGAGCTGCCTGGTGTGGGTGCTGGGAAACAAACTTGGGTCCTCTGCAAGAGCAGAATGCACTCTTAACCCCTGAGCTCCTGAGCCGTCGCTCCAGGCCTTGGCCTTCAGGTTTTGCTTCTTACCAGCTGCATGGCTGTGGGGTGTCTTTTTGCCTCTGTCACTCAGTTTCCTTACCTGTAAATGTCAGTCATCAGGGTATCTTGGCTTGTGGGTTTGAGGCAGGCTAGCCATTCTCATTCTGTGTCAGCAGCCCCTGGAAAGTAGACTGAGTGGTCAGTGTCAGGTCAGAGGCCTGCACATCTGTGTGGCTGATGGCTCTCAGGCTGCTGGGACTGCTCTGTGGCTTTGTCATTCGGGGGAAGAGGCCTGACAGTAACTAGGATCTCATCTTCCTTCAGGCCTGGATCCCCAGGGGTCCTTGGCCTCTGTTTCCTCAACTGTCCAAGAAGAGGAAGCATCTGAGGAACATTATTTGTTCTACCCCAAAGCACAGGCAGGTGGGGCTCTATGAAAGGACACCAGGAGAATTGGTTATGAGATGGGTGTCATATGACAACTGTACCACCAGAGGGCGGGAGAGCACTCTGCAGAGAGGCAGTGAAAGACCGTAACAAAGGGCTAATAGGCTGCTGACTGGGATATTTAGTGACCTTGCCATACTCTAGCCTCAGTTTCCACACCAGCCCGACTGATTGGTTCCTCAGGCATCCTGGTGATAAGGAAGCCATGGCATTTTTATTTTCCTTAGCTAGGGGCTACAGATGGTGTCTAAATACCTTGGGGCAAGCTGTGCCACCATGCATTTTTTTGTGTCCTTAAGAGATTCAGTACACTAAACCCAAGCTGGGAGCACAGATGTGCAGACCTCCCTCACCATCCACAGCCTGATGTGAATCTGCTCCCATGCCACTCACCTGGGGAAGGGCTCTGGGAAAGGACTCAAGCTGGGGTAGCCAGGCAGACTCCTACCTGAGGTCAAGGCAGCAACTTCTGGGAAGGGGGGCACTGGAAAACTCTTAGAAGGGGCAGTATGGGGTTGAGAGCAGGCCAGGTGGGCTGCTGGTGCCTGGAGGATGTCCCCAGGACTGGCAGAGTTTGCGTATGTGTGAGTGTGACAGGCAGAGCTCCTACCTTGTACCAAGCCTCCATGGTACCTTTCGCCAGACTCACATTCTCACTACCACTTTGTGTTTCCCTAGAGAAGGGAAGTGAAGATGCAGGGCCAGGCGGCTCGCCTAGGGTCACACAGTGGATAAGTGGAAGAGCCTGGTCATCTGGCTCCAGGGTCTACTGCTGTTGTGTATGGAAACCCACAGTAGGAGACGCCCTGATCTCCACACCATCATCTGAGCACAGCTCATGCCCTTTAAAGACCCTGCTCTGTGGGTCTCTCTCTTGTAGTTCCTGTATCTGCCCCAGGACTCCTATACCCACCCATAAACAGCAGTGTGTCTGGGGTGGGAGTGCTGGAGCCTCAGCTCAACCCTCAGTGTCACCATGCTCTGGGGCAAACAAGGCTGCCAGACAGAATACAGGGCATTTGATTCTGCCCCTCCCAGTACACAGTGACAGCTCTTTACTCCAGTGTTCATCATTTGTTATTCGGGGCATTCAGGAAGCCATCTGAAAATAAAGTTCAAGTAAACTGAGCCCTGTGGAGATGTCTGAGAAAGGGAGTGGGGTGTTTGAGACAGAGGCTTATTGTGAAGTTCAGGATGGCCTTGAACTTGTGGCCTTCTCCCTCTGCTGTCTGAGTGCTGGGACTCCAGGTGGTGCACTGCCCCCCCCACTCCCAAGGTGCTTGCAGTTCCTCCACATAGCACCCCCTCCCGTTTGAGCACTGTCTGGGCTCCTGTGCCCTGTGGAGCCTCTTCCTTTCCTTCCCTCCCTGGAACAGTCCGAATAGCTCTCCCTGTTGTGACCCTTTCTATTCGCCTTCCAGGCCACCTGCTGGAAGGAGCTGTCAAAGGCCATTCCCCTGCTTCAGACTCTTGCTATCAGCATTGGATTACAGAAGCACTAGGCTAGGTGCCTGCCCTGGTGGGGAGGTCTCAGAGAGGGCAGGGAGCTTCCCGGGACCCACCTCTCTTCTCTAAGTGTGCAAACAGAAGCAGGGAGTGAGGGAATGGAGGGTGGATGACTTCCTTTCCTGCCATAGCAAGGTCTGATTGCTTTGTAATTTACAAAGGAAACTTGGTTTACTAGAATGCCAGTTTGGGGATCACATTAACGATGAACATAGCCAAAGGGTCCCTTGCATCCAGAGGTAGTGTATATATGGCTTAGGACCCTCCCTCCAAAATAAAAGTGCCATGGGCCAGGCAGGACATCAGGTTTTTTGCAGCATGCCTGCCTGCAGACCTGCATTTCTGTTTTGCAGTTCCCTGAGGACCTCCTTTGACTCCCTGAAGCAGCGTAAGTTCCAACCATCCCCTATAGCAGCAGGGCTATAGGGCACAGCTCTCACAGGGGTGACTGGGGTGTGTGCTTCGGCTGTGGTCCAGATTTAGATGGAAGATGTGAGGGCTGGGAGGTGAAGTGTGAGGGTGCCGGACTGATCCAGGCAGAGGCCACGCTGTCACCCTAGAGACAGAGAACGTGGGCAGCGCACACATCCAGCTGGCCCTGGCCCTCCGTGAGGAGCTGCGGAGCCTGGAGGAGTTCCGTGAGAGGCAGAAAGAGCAGCGGAAGAAGGTAAGAAGGGATGGGAGGCCAGAGGAGGAAGATTGCGGGACCAAGGAGGGGATGGTGGCTAAGGTCACTCCCGTTCTGGGGGCCAGTTGGGAAGTATGGCTTGATGACAGGGAGAAGGTGAGTGCTCCAGTTTGCTAGCCTGTGCTGTGATAAAACACTGACTTGGGAAGAAAGGTTTATTTGGCTTACACTTCCCATGTCACAATCTGTCACTGAGGGCAACTAGGGTGGGGACTGAAGCAGGGATTACAAGAAATGCTCACTGGTTTTGCTTCCAGGCTCATGTTCAGATACATTTTTTATATAACCCAGGGCCACCTGCCTAGGGATAGTACTGCCCACAGTGGGCTGGCCCTCCTATTAACAGTCAAGAAAATGGTCTACAGACACACTCATGCGTCAATCCAATGGAATCGATTCCTCAGCTGAGGGTCTCTGTCTTCCTAGGGATATAAAGTTGACAATGGAAACCAACCATGACAATGAGGTTTCCATAAAGGGTTAGCTCTGGGACAGAATGCCCCATGGAGGCTGCCATGCCAGGAGGAAGAAAAGATGTAGGGCTTGACTATCCTACTTCCTAGACTGCAGAGGGTCAGCAACAGTGCCAGCTGTCCACAGGAGCCAACTCGTGTTGAGTGGCCCCTGGAAGCTGGTCCTGAACATGAGGATTACTGCTGTTGGTTCTGAAGACAGGTGGACTTGGGGCCAGTACTCTACAGGGTGGCTCAGCAGGGAGGGGAAAGACACTGTTTAGGGGTGCAGCACAGGCTTCAGGCTCAGCTAAGCATTTGAAGGCACTTGTGCCCACAAGGAGTGGCTACACTGGAAGGAAGTGAGTGCCTCATCGCGGGCAGTGTGTGAGTTCAGGCTTTGTCGCAGGCAGGCAGTAAGAGCAGACAGGCTTGGGGTTGCTTTGCAGGGAGGCTTCAAGGCTGGGGTAGGGAACAACTCTCCAAAGTCTGTTGCTCTGATTGGCTGAGCACCTGGCCCACCTGGAGGGTAAGTGGCTAAATCTCAGAGCTGGGGCCAAGCAGCATCTGGAGATCCAGGAAAGGTCCTTCCCCTTCCTGTGCCTCAGTTTCTCTCTTGTATGAGATACTCTTACTGACATCCCTTGCCTTGGGAACTTTACTCTTACTGGCATCCCTTGCCTTGGGAACTTGACCCTTCACAAACAGGGCTCTAGTTCATTGTAAACCCTGTGTCTTAGGGTTTCTATTGCTGTGGAGACACACCATGACCACAGCAACTCATATAAAGGAAACATTTAATTGGGGTGACTCACTTAGTTTCAGATGTTCCGTCCATTATCATGGTGGGAAGCAAGTCGGCACTCAGATGTGGTACTGGCTAGATCTTGATAGGCAGACCACAGGGAGTTGACTGAGCCACTGGGCAGTATCCTGAACATAGGGAACTTCAAAGCCCACCCCACAGTGGCACACTACCTCCAACAAGCCCATACCTACTCCAACAAAGCCACACCTCCCAATAGTGTCACTCCCTGTGAGATATCATAGGGACCAATTATATTCAAACTACTACACCTTGTCTGCCCATCTGGACAGCCTCAAGCTTACAGGGATCTCTACTGGCTTTCCCAAGCACATGAGTCCCCAGAACTATCTCCAGAAACTGCCTGGACTTGAGTGTTTGAACAGGTGAGCCCTCTGATTAGAGGCTTGTCACAGAGCAGGTGGAAACCCTGCTGTGACAGAGACCTGGCTGGGCTACTGTGAGCTTTATGGTCAGAACAGCTCCTTTCCTAGAGAGGTCAGGACCTGCCATCAGAACTGTGATGCAATGAGCCTGACTGGGTCTATATATGCCCTCGGTGAAGAGAGAGATACATGGTGTCCTTGACGGGCCAGGTGCACAGGCAGGTTCCTGTTGACTGCTGTTGCTGCTGTAACCTGGTGGCTTGCCAGAGCCTCCTCAGGACCCCAGGGCACAAACTGTCTCCAATTGTATAGCCAGAGGCATTTTACTTCTAATTCTCCTGACTCTCAGCCTCAGTCCTGGCTGTTCTACTCCATCCAAGAAGCCCACGGTGAATGTTGTGCTGTGGCGTGGCTATATGTGTACTGCATGCATGGATGCTCAGCCTAGGGCCATGAATGGGTGGATACTGGAGTGTGTGGGATGCTCAGCCTAAGGTCACAAAGGGGTAGATACTTGAGTGTGTGGGATGCTCAGCCGAGGGTCATGAATGGATGGACAATGGAATGTGTGGTGTATGCCATGCAAGCAGTTGGGAGATGGTGGCTGAGTATAGACTAGGTATTCATGTGTATGCCAGTGTACACTCAGTGTGAGCAAGTGGTGGCCTGTGAATGAAAGACTCAGGACTGGTGTGAGTATATGTGTATAGGTGAGGATGCTCTCTCCAGCTGGAGACCAAGTCAGGTTGAGGCCTCCAGTAAGGAAACAGTAGGCATATCCACAGCCTAAGCTGTTCCGTTCTATTCTGAGTATATTGTGATTTTGTTTGAGAGAGGGTCTCCCTATATAACCTTGGCTGGCCTGGAGCTTGCTATATAAATCAGACTGACCCCACACTCATATCCTCCTGCCTCAGCCTCCCAAATACTGGGATTAAAGGTGTTCAATACCACACCTGAGTGGTATTGCTTTGAAGGAGGTAACTCTAGGAGAGAGAGGATATGGACACACATGCACTGGTGTACACAAGTTTGGAGGGGTGTTATGGCCCAGGGACAAGGACAACCATCCTCTTGGCCTAGGGGAGCGTCTTGAGGCCAGAGCCCCCAGCTCAGAGCCTCATGTCTCCTGCAGTATGAGGCTGTCATGGACCGTGTCCAGAAGAGCAAGCTGTCACTCTACAAGAAGACCATGGAGGTAAATGGGAGGGCTCTGGGACAGGCTTGCCTCAGACCTTGGTCCACTATGCATATAGGCCTGCTGGGGGATGTGCTGGATGCCCAAGTCCTTCAGGGTCTTGCATGAAAGATAGAGGGGCAGTCATACACATAGTCCATGAGTGTGACCCACACTGTCAGCTGAGGAGTCCAGAAGTAGCAGAGAGAAGGGACATCTGAGAGGGCAGAAGGTGTAAGGGCCTGGATGATGGGGCCTGAAGTCTCCATGGCAACAGGCTTCAGCCCTTACATCTCTATCCCTGGGAAGGAAACCTCTTCTACCAGAGCCCCTCACAGGAAGGGAGTCTAGGCTTACGAAGCCTCACCCTGAGGCCCCACATAGGGCACTCAGCCCCCAGACATACCTCTCTGCACCTTCAGTCCAAGAAGGCATATGACCAGAAGTGCCGGGATGCAGATGATGCTGAACAGGCCTTTGAGCGCATGAGTGCCAACGGCCATCAGAAGCAAGTAGAAAAGGTATGTAGCGTACTAGGGGTGGGGCGTGGGGTGATGAATGTTGTGACCCCCAAAGCAGGGTAGAGTCAGTAGGCAGGAAGGAGCTGTCATCCCTGGGCTCAATTTGCATATCTGGGGCACGCTAGCTGCTCACCCCTTTCCACTCTGTGTCCACTCTGCGATGGGTGTCCTCCAGAAACATTCTTGAGCATAGGTCCTCTGCAGCACAGGCAACCTCCGGACAGGGTAGGGGTGACTGAGCTATTGGGGACCCAGAAAGCTGAGCCCCACACAGAGCAGTGGGTTGACGAGTTGAATCCCAGTTGACCAGAGCCAGGGTTCTGAGCAGCAATGCAGCAGAGGCCACGTGGGTCTTGGCATCTGCATTTTTCAAGTTTCCAGGTGGCTGCGGGTTTCTTCTTTTATTTATTTCCCTTCCATGGAACTAGCCTGGTCCCCTCTGTAGCAAGGCTGCAGATGAATGGTAGAATTCACCCACCCACTCTCCTGTCTCCTCAGAGCCAGAATAAAGCCAAGCAGTGCAAGGAGTCCGCCACCGAGGCAGGTACGAGGCCCTGGCCACTCGTCTACCCTCAGCTGGTGCTCTCCAGAGTACAGAGCTACTCGTCACTCTGTATGCGGCCATGGTGACTGTTTCCTCTTATAAGGAAGCGGAGGCACAAAGTGGTGGTCAGCATTCCAACCCAAGCCATTGGGTTTCAGAGTCTGAGATCCATAGGGCCACATCCCTTTATCTCACACGCACAGTGACAAATGCTCCTGTTCAGCCATCCTCCCATCCCAGGGATGGATCCTCCCTTCTGTTCACCTCTCCAACACCTGCTGCTCCCTCAGCAGGTGCCAGATGACCATATTCATGACTCAGCTTGCTGTAGTGCAACAGCTTGCAGAGACGCTCCTTGAGCCTCAGTTTGCCATCTGTAAAGTGAGGGGATGGGACACGGGGAATGGAGCAGAACTCTGGGTGCAGAACTTCTGCTCCAGCCCTTGGCGCTCAGGGCATGGAGCATAGTGGGGAAGTGGAGAGTCACCCTGCAAAGAGCAGAATGGCAGCTGTGTGTGTTGACCAGCAGCGAGCCAGGCCCCTTGGGGAGGGGGCTCCCAGGACTTGAGGGAGCTTGTGCTGGGTGGGTATCTTCAGGAGTGAAGGACAGAGGAGATTCTGTCATGGGAACCTTCAGGGGAGGTCCAGGCTACCAGGCCTGCCTAAGGGTCCCCTGTGCTTGTAGAGCGAGTATACAGGCAAAATATTGAACAGCTGGAGAGAGCGAGGACTGAATGGGAGCAGGAACACCGGACCACCTGTGAGGCAAGTGACCCAGGCAAACAGCCTGTTCCTCCACATACAACCTGCTCTATCTGTGGGAAGCTGGGGCTGGAATGACAGTACTCTTTCATTCCACTTATAAATCATCTGCTTGGCTGGTGCCTAGGGTCTGTCCCCAACACTCACTATCTGGCCTGTGCCCTGGATCCCTTTCCTGCAGGGATTTATTCTTCATAAGCCTACACTGGGCTCAAAGCCCACCCTACACCCTACTGATGGGCAGAACCAGCAGAGTCCTGTGCCTCTCACTAGGCTCCCCCAGCCTCCTCTCGAGCACAGGGGACCTACAGGGCTGTCTTTGCTAGACTTGACTGCAGCAAAGTGGTCTGTACTGGTCTCCTAGCTGAGCTGTGGTGGCGCTGGCCCCACAATCCTCTTTCCTCCCCCACAGGCCTTCCAGCTGCAGGAGTTTGACCGACTGACCATCCTCCGAAATGCCCTGTGGGTGCACTGTAACCAGCTCTCCATGCAATGTGTCAAGGATGATGAGGTGTGTGGGCTGGGAGAGGGCATCTTGGTGAGCTCGGGTCTTCTGGGGCCCTGCCAGCATCTCCCCAGACCTCTGCGGTTCACATGAGTCTGACAGGGCCCCTGGCCTACTCTCCAAACCTTGAACATTGTACTCCTGTGGTTCCCTGCATCTGCTTCTCCTCCCTGCTCCTACACTCAGGGCACCTGCCCCTTCAGGGCTGTGTCCATCCACTCTCGGCAACACAGCAGAGACTTGCTGAGGGCTGGAGGGGCTGGTGGGAACCTGGTCTAGGTTCTCTCACACTCCTTCCCCGTAGCTCCTTCAGGGTCTCTGTCACCTTACAGAGCCCAACACTCAGGGCTGGCCAGGGGGCTACCACCTACACCAGGGCAGCTCAGACCACTCCTGCCTATGAGCCACCTGATCCTAGTGGTAGCAACAGGTGTGGGCTCTGATACCCTGGCATGCCACTTCCCTTTTCGTGCGTTCTCCCATCTTAAAACAGGTTATACCTTGGGCCTCAGAGGACTACAGTGAGCCGGGCCTCTTCCCGGGACTCTGAGCTTGGTGTTCAGGAAACTTCGGAACATCAGTCAGGTCACTAATTTCTCTGGCAGGCCTGACATCCCAGCACTGAGCCTGAACTATATAGCAAGACTAGGTATCAAGGTGACTGGCAAGGGCAGATATTGGGGTGAAGCCTGGACACAGCCTTTGTTCATTCCCTACCCACAGCTCTATGAAGAGGTACGGCTGACACTTGAAGGCTGTAATGTGGACGGTGACATCAATGGCTTCATCCAGTCCAAGAGCACTGGCAGAGAGCCCCCAGGTAAGACCCAGCCTGTGGGCGGCTTAGCTCCCGGAGCCAGGCCTGGCTAGCCCACACTTCCCGATTGAGTTCAGTTGACCACACGTAGGCTGGGGGACAGTACATTCTGGGACTGGGCTCTTGGCTTATTTCCCTTAAGGTTTAAAAGGAACAGAGCTGAGTGCTCTAGTGTTCTCAGGAGCAAGAGAGGAGGATGGGAAATTTTAAGGAGGTCACAGTAGAACGGTCTGCACCAATCCCGACCTGTTGTATAAAATCACAAATGCAGAATTCTGGGCTGGAGAGACAGCTCAGTGGCTAAGAGCGTCTGCTGCTCTTGCAGAGGAGCCATTCAGTTCAGCATCCACATCAGGCAACTCACGACGGCAGCTCCAGGGAATCCACACCTCTGGCTTCCACATGAATGCATACACATCTACACATAATTAAAATTAACAAAAATCTTTAAAAACAAAAGCCTGGCATAGTGAAATATGCCTTTAATCCCAACGCTTGGGAGGCAGAGGCAGGTGGATCTCTGTGAATTTGAGGTCAACCTGAGTTACATAGAGGGACCCTGTCTCAAAAAACCAAAACAACAAAAAAAATTCTGGTCCAGAGCCATAAGGGGTAAGTGGGGCCAGGTACAGTCCGGCAGGCCGCGCTACTCTAGGCCTTGTGCATTTTCTCTCTTCAGCTCCGGTGCCGTATCAGAATTACTATGACCGGGAAGTCACCCCACTAATTTGCAGCCCTAGTGTCCAGCCATCCTGTGGTGTGATAAAGAGGTGAGACACGGATGGACTGAACAGCTCCCTGTAGGTCTGGTGCCCTGTCCAGGTACAGGGTACTCCACGGAGATATCCCATGATCAAACTACCCTCAGGGAGCCCTCAGTCCAAGAGGAACCAAGTACTAATCACTCACATTGCAATTACTGACCAGTGGCTATGCTGAGACCTGGGCAAGTGCCTCATCTGGCTCCCTTGGCCTCACCGTGAGGGGGGATATACTGTCTTAACTGTCAGGCAGCAATGATGGCACTCTCCAGGTGGTTTAAAAGTGGCCCAGAGCCCAGGCATTTGGAGAATTCACCAGGTTTTTACAGGGCCACCTCCTTAGCCTGGTTGTCATCAGGTGCCAGGATCCTAGTTTTGTGCCCTGTGAGTGACTGGGTCTAGTCACCATGGGCCAAAGGAAGGAAGACTTGCTTGGTTCAAACTGGCTGTGCCTGGTAAAATGTGTGGGAGAACTTTAAACGCAGCTTCTTCCCATGCAGGGCAGGGTGGGGGTGTGTATGTCGTGTCTCTCCCGGGGTTAGGGCCCTGCTGGTTGCAGGTGCTGAGATGACCAGGAGTGTATGGGAGGGGGATGCTGAGGATGAAGGCACTGCCAGAAATGGCCTGTGGGGTGGCCCGGAGATGTGGCCACAGGCTGGCAGAGGTCCCTGAGTGCTGAGAATTTCAACAAGTCCCTCTGCTTCCCATGAGGTTCCGCCAGGCCTTCCCCTCTTCCTCCAGGTTCTCTGGGCTGCTGCATGGAAGTCCCAAGATCACATCTTCTCAACTACCTGCTGGTAAATGAGGGGGGAGGGGATAATGGGACAGGGGACATGTCACCTAAGACTCCAGAGGAGGAGAGAACTCCTACATAGCAGCATAGGTGGAGCATTAACACCCCAAAGGGAAAGGTATACTGTCCAAGAGCGGGAATGGCGTTGGGATCAAGCCCGCCCCCAGCAGTCTCCAGGGACCACTGTCCTCAGGGAGGGGGCTAATTCCAGTCTCATCTTGCTCTCAGCTTCCACAGATTCTCTGGCTCCTACTCCTGAGCACAAAGAGTTGGTCTATGCAGCCATCGACGTGCAGGCAACACAGGGGAACCATGACACATCAGCCCAGAACTACCGGGCGCTCTATGACTACACAGCACAGGTGAGGCATTTGCCCTTTGGCCAGAGGGTACCCATGCCTAGGCATGAGCACTTAGACCAGCACCAGAGTTTAGTGAACATCTGCTGGGCTGCTAGCTGCACAAATCTGCACGCATGGAGACCATAAGGCTGACAGCTCAGGGCTGCTGTGGACCCAGAGACCCACAATGGCCAAAATGAGGCCCTGGAACTGACATCCTTGGAGAAAGGCGATCAGGGCAGCCACAGAACGACTGCTGAGATGGATTCCAACTCGAGCAGTGGCTGAAGTGAGGGTGAAGACCTGGAAGGCAGGCAGGCTGGACGTGGGCTGCACTAACCGAGGTCACATTCAGGGATTCAGGCCTGTGGAGTAATGGGGTACTCGGGTGACAGTAGATGGCTGCATAGTTAAGTCTAAGAGAGCTTGCTCTTGGGGTGTGACAAATGCCTTTGAGATGCTGCAGTGGTTGGAGCAGTGAGAAAAGCCCAGGATAGGAGGTCTCCATGACAACCTGAGCAAGTTAGGAGGCCAAGTCTCTCGGGGAACCTCACAGCCTGTCTGTCTCCAAAGGAACTACCCTAGAGGCCTGAGCATGACTCAGCAGACTATTCACCCTGGGAGCCCAACATGCGTGGATTGCCAAGGTGGAGTGTCAGATTACAGCCCACCCAGGAGACCCTCCAATCTCATACACTTGCCATTTCTTGCCCAGAATTCCGATGAGCTGGACATTTCTGCAGGAGACATTCTGGTGGTCATCTTGGAAGGAGAGGATGGCTGGTGGACAGTGGAACGGAATGGACAGCGTGGCTTTGTCCCTGGGTCCTACTTGGAGAAGCTCTGAGGAAAGACTGGTGCTCACACCTCTGCCCTCACAGTGAGGTTAGGACTGTTCTCACCACTGCCCAGGCCTCATGGGGCCAGAACCAAACTTGGCTGCCCTGGGATGAGATGGATACTGGCTACTCCCAGTGACTTTCTTCCAGGAGGAATAAAGGGGAACATTCTTTCTTTGCTCTTACTGCAGTGTCCAGGGGCTCAATTCAGAAGCCAGAGTATGGGGAGTCTGGGAGAACAGAGCTCTGCCACTTACAGACAAGCCTTCAGAGGTAGTCAGTCTCAGCTAGGGACAGAGGAGAGGCCTGGCCCCAGGTGTCTGAGCTACACTGATACTGGAGACAGCCAGTTAGATGCAGGTAGGCTCAGCAAGGATAAGGCAAACGTGTGAACACAGGGCATTGGCATACTTAGGGGACTAGAAATAACTGGTGGGTCTGGAGGCAGCTCACTGGGAAGACACTCAGGTTCATGGTATACAGCCCTCAGTGGCCCCCCACCAAGGAAACTACTTCCCTCAGTGCCCCTTCCCGACATGCACTATCACAGAAGCCAGCCATGGGCCTGTGGCTTACTCATTGACACTGCCTGCCTACCCATGTACCTAGGCAAATGTCAGATGCCAGAGATAAAACTGTGAGCAAACTGGTCTAGAGAGGAGTAGGGGGTTGCTGGCTCCTCTGTGTTTACCACCAATGCCTGTCTCCATTCTCCAATCTTCCTCACTGGAGCAGAAAGGCGGGCTTACTTAAGCAAGCATGCCTGTGACAAGGCTGGGCCTATTTGGGGTTGTGGTTTCTCATCCATCTCAGGTACAAAGACCCCAAGCAGTTCTCTGGAACCAGGGCTCTGATCTGAGGACAGGCTGTTCTGGAGGAAGGGACTGGCGGTCAGCCTTCTTTGGCCGGTATGGGAAAGGGCTCTGAGCCATGGAAAGAACCAAGTGACGTTGACATCCTTCTGGAAATGTTATTTTCCTCATCATGAACACCCTGTGGGGTGACCAGACACCACACCCACCTGTGACACATCAGATATGCACATAGGAATGTTTGGAGAATGACTTAATCCAGGGCTTGGTCTCCTCCCATGAAGGAAGCAAAACTAGCAAATGAAGACTTGTCAATGACAAGTCCACTTGGGCCAGAAAAACAGGAAGGTACCCTGTTCACCCTTTTCCTACTGGTCGGTGCTTGCCAAGGTGCCCTGACAGAGCACACTCCTCCAGAGGGGCACACAGCTGCTGTTTTTCCAAGGCAGTCAGGGGGTGGTCCCATATACAGGGTGAAGGCTGCTCGACAAAGTGACCTAGAGAATTCTGGTGGATATAGAAATGGATGGGAACCGTAGTTCATGGGTGTGAGAAAGGATAGGAAGAGTGGGAGAGAGCTGTGAACTCTGACCTAATCTGAACTAAGCCTTTCAAGGTGGGCAGGTGGAAGCGGGGAGGGGGTTGGGACAGGCAGAGCAGAGACTGACTTCTGGGGTAGCTATATCACAGCTTTCTTTATTCCTTGAAAATACCTTGTCATCTTGATTGATCATCCCATTCCACTGCAAAGATTTTTTTAAAAAACCTTTGGCCCAGATATTTATCACCATCTCTGACAGGTACTGCAGTGTCGGTGGGCCCCACTGAGTGATGGGTGAGCAGCCTGCTTACTGGGCATCCAGGGAAAATGAGAAGCAATGCTTGGATCTCAATTTATACCAGAGGGAAATAAACCCACAGATGAATTCTAGTCAGCTTCACTGCATCCTACAGCTTCCCTGTTCTCCTGTGGATCAGGTCACATCAGTGGCTGAGAACCAACTACACAGGGAGACAGTGCCAGATGAAGAAGGAGCTGGCATAACTGTACATGAAAAACTGCAGCCTCTCCCTGTCAGAGAGCAGCTCAAAGACAGCAGTAGATGGGAGACCGTGACCTCTTGTGTCAGAGCATCAGGGTCTGACTACACTTGGGCTGACTCAGGCAAGCCTCAGTAATATCCATCACCAGCAGGAGGGGTGCAGCTGGCCTTATGCAAGCTGCTACCTTAAAGAGTCACTAGTTGAACACTAATTAAAAGCAAGGGGGTTGCCACTTTTAACAGCCAGGCCTACAGCCTCTGGATCTTGGCTGTAGGCAGCATCACCTCATTCAGTATGCTTGTTAGGGCAACCATGGTTGCCACTGAGTCCTTCCCAGTAGGGACCAGAAACCACTCACCATTTGACCAGACAACTTCAGCACCACTGGTACCCAGCAGCGAACTCCAACCACTTTCCCTTAGCTGCTCCTGGACCAAGCCAGCTCAGCATGACCCATTCCATGGTCTGGCTACTTCCCATTGTGGCTCCTAAAAGGTCACCACATACAGGGAACTCATTCCCCTCATCAGCCTCAGGCTGTTGGGATCTCAGGGATAGGCTTGACAACTATGTTCAGCAGAGCTCACTATAGGGCCAAGGAAGGAGAAAGCCCTGCCCACCTATCTCCAGCTGCACTCAAGGTTTACAGGCTGGACTAGCTATGCTGCTCAACCAGCCACTGAGCCCTGATCTATGCAGCATAGCCTATGTTCCCAATGTTCTGGTGATTCCTAAGTGGAGTAGGAGTCAGGCAACTCTTGAGCCCTTTGGTCATACTTCTTACTCAAGGTTTGAAAAACATCCTCTATGGTACCACATTGACTTGCCTCCGACCTTGAGTGTCCACTAGGTGTTAGATCCTGAGGATACCTCTCCTGTGTTATAATCATCACGCCTCTGTCCTTACTGGATACACTCATAGCAGGGCCTGTATGAGTCACCTTCCCCACAGTTAGCACAGCCCTAATCCCCTCTAAAAGTGGTAAACTTGGTGGTTCCTCTGGAGCACTCTGGACCCCAAAGAAACCACAACAGAAAGCCACAGAGAACAGACCAATTGTTTTCAAGATTGGCAAGGATGCTGGATACAGGTACTCCTCCTTAGCAACCACCCACTCTAGTAAATAAAGCCACTGGGGATCAAAATGCAAAGCTAGCCACAGCCATAGAGGCCAGGTGGTGGTAGTACACACCTTTAATCCCAGGACTTGGGAGACAGAGGTAGGTGGATCTCTGTTAGTTCAAGGCCACCCTGGGCTACACAAAATTGACCCAATCTAAAAGAGAAACAGCTCCCACAAAGGTGATGTCAGCACTGGGATCACATGCCTTTAATCCCAGCACTAGGGAGGTGGAGACAGGAGTGATATGGCTGGGCAGAGAGAGGAATCTAAGGTGGAGACATGATTGCCATTTCAGCTTGGTAGAGGGAAGAGCTACTGGCTCACTGCTTTGCTTTTCTCATCTTCAGTGGCTTTATTTGATCATAAACAATATATCACCACAACCCACTAAGAGTGTTGGCAAGCCACAGAGGTCTCACAGAAAAGTTACCTAATACTGCTAAGATCTATAGAAAACAAACCTTGTCAAATAAAGTGAAGGACAATGCTGGAAATTCAGGGGACAGGAATGCTTAACCACTTTTAAAAGATCCTAGGACTGGCTAACAGCCAGACACATTTTTACCTACCAGAAGAGAAGGCAAAGGCAGGCAACACTCCGAGGGTCAACAAGGGTATGCGGATTTTCACGCCTGGCTGGTGAAAACATAAATTGATAGTCTTTTTTTTTTTTTGAAAAGCAATGGGAAACATTCATGAAAACTCAAGGTGACCTTTTTGGGTACAGGATACACTACTACCATCATTTACATGCGAAAAAGGGCTGATACGTAATGATGAAAACTGCTCTGAAACTAGCTCATGGCTGTATAGCGCTGCTGTGGACTGTTTAAACTGGTTCATTTTATGCCATGTGAGTACGGCTTCCAAAGGCCTGCCAGCCGTCAGTACATCACAGGCTTCTTTCTGTCAACAACAGAGGGCACGTACAAGATTACAAAGGAGCTGAAACCCTCCCATCACCCCGTGATGTAACAACAGTTCTACATGGTGGCACCATGTCCTACTACTGTTTGTGATCAAATATCAATCAGGCCAAAGCTGGAAATATTTGCTGAATCTGGGGCAGCTAGTTCTATCTCTAGAGATTGTTGTTTTCAGTCAGGAGGCACAAAAGAGTTAACTATATCCTAGAGAAAGAGGTGGTCAACACTGACTAGGTGCCCCAAGTTACTTATTTTTCCCTACCTTTTCTTGTCACACTGACCCAGGCTCTGCAGACAGCACTTTTTCACAGCCGAAAATGGCATCTCTGAAGGGGCCACCAGGGCTGGATGAGGGGCTTGTCTTCTGGCATGGGTCCAGCAGCCTTCTCCACAGGGATGGCACCCCAGTGTCCCTGCGGCAGTCACTCCACAGAAGCCTAGCGAGAACCTCTCATGGGTGTCTAGTTCCTTGGGGGCCTTCCTTTCCCTCGAAGGGCCCTGAGGGTCGAAGCTACTTTCTGCTGGGCTGTTTCAGTCCTCTCTTTATTCCTGCCAGTAGGTAAACCACCTTCGGTTTAAAACGTTCTGTTCACACCGCCTCCTTGCCAGACCGGGGGGCTCACAATGAACATCACAAGCAGTGGGGGCAGGTGGACATTGTGCCCCCTCCATGTGATGCCCTGGGCGAACCTGGGACACAGGTGGTCTTCTTCCTGGAATTCAAGCTCCTCAACAGGAGGCACATCAGATAAGCTCACATTGAACAGCACCATCTGACGGGGACTGCAGTCTTCTATAATGTCAATGTCACTTGAGACAAAACTATGGGATTAGTCCAGATCAGAACGACAGCTCCACAGAACTGCTGATCCCAGCTGGCTCTGGACCTGCAGAGGGACCAACACTGCAGAGAACATCATGAGGCCAGCTGGTATGAATGGTAGATATGTCATAGGCATTAAAGGTAATAAATTTGGCACCTGTATTGTGATTATCGGAGACTATTTTGGGGAAACACCTGCTCAAGTACTTGAGGGACAGGCCATGGTGTCTGTGGAAAGAGTGAATAAGCACATTTGAGGACAGGAATGACTCATTAAATAGGGCAGAGGTCAATAGGCACATCTGGGTAGAAGAAGATAGGAGTTTCACATACAATTTTTACTCTTGCAACTTTCTATGACCTTTGAAGTTACTTCCAAATAAAAATTTAAGTACAATAATAGGATGGAGCAGTGGTTCTCAACCACAGCTAGCCCTAGAAGTGCCTAGCCCTGCCACTCTTGGTTGCATCAGGTGCTTCCATTGTGCAAACAGGTGGGAGACACTGGCCCCCCAGGAGAGCTCATTCTCTACTGAACAGCAGCCCCTCTTCCCTCTGAAAAGCAAACACCAACCTCTGCTACAGAAGGGACCACAAAGACTGCAGGCAGACATTTAATTTGTAGGGCACTGGCCAACAGAGATTTTCCTTTCTATTGATTCTTAGGCCACGAAAAAAACACATGTAAAGCTGTCAGGGGCAAGAATGCATTACCCAGTGTTTCCCAAGCTCCCAGCTCCCCTATTAATATGGCTTTAGTGGGTTACCACTGGCACACTATCAAAGCCATTTCCTACTCTAGAGCTAGATGTACAGAAAAAGGTCAACTAAGGCTGCTGACTACATATTACTGGGATTGGTCTAAACCTGTTGATAGAAGAGCCATAGAATGGTTGGTGGCCATGCTGGGGAAGGCAGCTGCAGCGAAGGGTCACAAGGGAGAAAGGGTCACAAGGTAGAGGGACCAGAGCAGAGGTGGCTCTGAAATGCTTCCACAGGACTTAGATTTAACGCATCTTCTTTGCACATTTCCACTTTCAGAAGACTTAAATCATATTCAGGCAACTCAAATTAAAAGGCCCACACTCAACACAAACTCAGCCCTAGACATGGTTCCTATTTGTCCTCTATTTCTGTGACTGGCTGGTTCTCCAGATGACTGAGCCAGAAATCTGAGATTTGTCTTTAGAGTGCGCTCTTCTCCTGTGTCCCACATCCAGTCAGTGTAGACTCTGTCATTTCCTCCTCCTGGTAGTCCCCAGTAGTGCTCTACGGTATCATCCTATTGGAAGCCTCATCACACTCCCTCCAATCCATCCTCTGAATTGCCATAGGGACCATGCAGAGCAGGCCTGCTGCCATCAGCGGTATCTTCAGATTTCTCCTGCACATGTCCTATTAAGACCAGAGGACCTAGGCTTTGTCACAGGACCTATTTCTTTCCCTAGCCTTGTTTTAAGGCCAGGCTGAAGGAAGTACACAGCCTATGCACCCCCCCAGAGCCCTGTAGAGCCTCTCCATCTTCTAGGCTTGACCACAATTTTTCCATGAGTTTGTAAGTGACGTCACTAAACCCTGATCTCTGGGTGCCTCCTCCCATCACTGCACTGACAGAAATTACCTGCTTCTGTATGTCTCCTGTGCTAGGATCTCAAACTCCTTGGGACAAGGACACCACCACCACTGTGTCTATCCCCTAGGCCTTGCACACAGATGTTCTGAAAAACTCTAAAATCACCTGTGGTTTGCCGAGTACCACGCCTTTAGAATCTGGCCGCATACAATGAAAACTATGCAATCCATTAGGAACTGCAGGCAACAGCAGCATTTGAAACATTATACTGCTGCTCTGGAACTGAAATATCCCCCAAATAATTAAAAACTACATGGTGAGGGCTGATACAGAGTTTATTGAATTAAATTTTTCTATTTACAGCTGAGATCACATCTACATACTATTTTGCTAGTCTACATGGGTACATTATCTCTAATGAGTTTAAGACTGATGATGAATGGGTTCAATCACACAGAAACTCACACATTCACACTAATTGCTTTAAAACAGTAGTGCATACATTATAGTCCTCCTATAAAGCCAGCTTTGATTAAAAACCACTAGTTTCAAAGATCAGTCTCTGATTTTGAAGATGAACAAAGACACACTGTGTGATTCTAAAATCTATGTTAGCCATTTTGTACAATTGCTATGTTATTGTACTATAGTATATATTCTTTAAAAGGACACTGATGAGGGGCTTCCACCCTCTCACCCCCAAGAGTTCTCTTGTAAAGACAAAAAGGGCCCAGTGATACAACATTGTCCCATTACTCCTCAGAGGCGACAGAAAGAGGCCCACACCCTCCTTTAGTTCTACCGCACTACAAAAATGGTTCTGAGATTAAGGGCAGAGAGTCAGCAACAACAAGGGTAAGAAAGCCATAGGTGGGTACATGAACTGCCAAGCTGCTGTCCAACACCAGTGTATGTGTGCTTTGACTAGATGAACTCAGGAGTCAACTGCTGTAGGCCTGCTCAATTCACCTTCCAAATCAGAACAAGGACACTAAAAATCAGCTCAGGCTTGCGCTGTCCGCTACGCGTAGGTTCCACCTGTGATGAGGAGCTCATAGGCAGGGTCTCTACTCCGTCTGCACAACACGATGCATGCACACAGCATGCCCAGCAGCTGCAGGAAGAAAATAATGTGAAATGGCTAATGACCACTTGGCAAATGTGTATCTCTTTATTGGCAATGAAGTTATTTCAAGTTCTAATGATCCCCAAATTGTAAAAAGAAACAACAAAAGAGGAAATTTCTTACGAACACATAATATTTAACGGAAGTGGCTAAGTACTAAGCATCCATCAGCTTCCCTGCTTCCTATCCAGGAACTGAGCAGCTGGCACAACCCAGGGCTCTTCTTACTGAGATTCCCCACTAACAATGCCCAGCTGTGCTTCCCAAAGCAGCTTCTGTGGTGACAGTCTGGGACTGCACATGTGGCTGTGGCTCCCCTGCCAGACAGCACAAGACTAGAGAAACCTGTTGGACAGTGTCTTTTTAGACATCTGGATTTGAGGGAGAGAGGCTTCCTCAACAACCCACAAAAACTCATTACGGTAGAAAGGCAGCCTCAGTGCCAAAAATGTATTTTGAAGGCTTCTGTTTATTATTTACGACTTTTGATTCTGCGGCATTATTGACACATTACTTGTCAAGGGACACTGCTACTCCATCATTTCCATTTTAGTTACATTCTTCTGGAGTAGCATACTGAAATAGAGACATGTTACATTATTAAACTATAATATTACAGTGATTCCAGCTGGGCAGTAATGGTGTACGAATTTAATTCAGCACTTGGGAGTCAGAGACAGGCAGACCTGAGTTCGAGGCCAGCCTGGTTTATAGAATGAGTTCCAGGACAGCCAGGGCTACACAGAGAAACCCTGCCTCAAAAAACCAAAAAGAAAAAAAATGATTCTAAAATTCTTGACCCAGTTTCTCACAAAATACAAATAGTACCAATGTTACTTTGCTGTTTCAATTTCTCAAAGACAGTGAAGGGCCTAGATTATTGGATTTTAAAAGGCAAGGTTCTCTGTACATACAGGGCAATTCTAATTTTAGCAAATGTACCTGGATCATAAAGTCGAAGTACGAGACACAGAGGATGCGGTTGTCCCTAACCTGAACCCTCCATGTTTAGAGCCACATGTGGATTCTGGCTTCCATTAGCCACTATTTCACCCGTTCAGATCCGTCAGCACCATCCCATTAATATTTACCACGTGGCTGCTGGTCTACAGCACCATGCACACTTTGGAAGCAGAGTCTGTTGAACATTTGCTTAGATATTCTCCAACTCTAGGCACATTTACTATCAATTCTTAGAGAAATATATTTCTGGCCATTAGACAACAAAGCATTCTTAGAATAGCTATAAAAACACACACTTATGTTTTCAGATTACGTTAAACTAAGCAATAAAATACTAACCTCAAGAATCACTGACTGTCTAGGAGGGGAAAAACAATCTCCCTTCCCACCCCCATCTATCTCACATTCCTCTCAGCTGGGGAACTTCTGCTGAGGAGGTCTGAAATACATTTTATTTCTTTCCTCTTTTATTTCACTTAAGTCAACTTGTTACTGGCATTAAAGCAACTTAAAAGGCATAACAAAACTCTACTGATTAGAAATGAGTCCATTTAGCAGCATTAAGCTCTACCCAGAAACATCTTCTCACCATTAAGTGTTACAGAACCACTTCCAACATTCTGCTATACTAACACTACATTAATTACTGAAAATTTGCAACAACAGACTTGGAAATATTATAGGAATATTTATATATATATACTTAAAATGAAAATGTTCCCTTGTACTATTCAAGTCATGGGAAGCAATCTTTACCTAGACCAAATAAAACACCAAATATAAAATCTGTAAAAATAAATAAAAAGGGAATAAAAGAGAAAAGAAAAAGGCATGCTTACCGTACCAAGACAACTGGTATACTAAAAACAACTACCAGCTGGGTGGTAGTGGCGCACGCCTTTCATCCCAGGCACTTGGGAGGTAGAAGCAGGCAGATCTCTGTGAATTTGAAGCCAACCTGTCCTAAAGGGCAAGTTTCAGGATAGCCAGGGCTACACAGAGAAACAAAATCCAAAAAATAAAAAAAAAACTATCAAATACGATGTTCTAAGCCGGGCGTTGGTGGCGCACGCCGTTAATCCCAGCACTCGGGAGGCAGAGGCAGGCAGATCTCTGTGAGTTCGAGACCATCCTGGTCTACAAGAGCTAGTTCCAGGACAGCCTCTAAAGCCACAGAGAAACGCTGTCTCGAAAAAACAACAACAACAAAAAAGTCAAATACGATGTTCTATGATATTCTATGTAGGTGGAGGTGTGTAGAAATATTCTCGTACAAAATTTAGAAATCTTTTCTACTGGAAGCACCCTTTTCTGAGAAATGACTGCCAAGTACCTACCAAAACTCATCATATATCCTTAACTCTTCAGTTTCACAGCCACACACACTTACTATAAATAGACTGTGACACACAAAAGCAGAGAACCACTACTTGCATTTTAACAGATTTACAGAAGTGCCTATTAACATCAATTAAAGTATTCCCCCCAAATGGGATAATAGACAGCCATGAAACAAGGTAGATCTAGAAAAAGCCCATATGGATGTGATTCTCTTTATACTTTATTTTGAACTGACAAATATTAGAAATCAAGGCCCGTTTATTAGTAGGTATGTGGTGGGCAGGACAGTTATAAGAAGCAAACAGGAAGGAATGCTGTGGTACTGAGATCACTTGTTTTTTGTTTTGGTGCTGGAGAGATGACTCGGTGATTAGGAGCACTTACTGCTGCTGCAGAGGAAATGAGATGGGGTCTAGCAGGGGACCCAGCATGCCAAATGTTGACTCACAACCATCTGTAGCCCAGTGTGAGGGGAACCAACAAGAACAAACATGAATGCATACAAAAGATTCATACACTAATGCAAACAAAACTTTTTTGTTTTGCCTGTCTGTATGTGAACCACATGTATGTCTGATGCCCACTGATTCAGAAGAGGGTGTTGGATCTCTGGAACTGGTTTTGGATGGTTGTGAATCAGCATATGGGCACTGGGTACTGTACTGAGTCCAAGCCAAGAATAGCAAGTGCTCTTAACTGCTGAGTCATCTCTCCAGCTCTTGATATCTTGACTGTGGTGGTAGATATAGACACCTACTGTGTAGAATAACTGTGTAGAACTAACTAAACACAAATGAAAAACCTGGAAGGGATTAGACACTATCAATACTATTAGCTGGTATGTTATACTCTGCAAGCTGATCACTGAAGGTGGTCAAAGCAGCCAAGGGATTTCACTAAATTATTTCTTAAAAGTGGAATCCACAATTACCTCAAACAAAAAGCAAGGGCCAAAGCTACATCCCTGTAAGCTTCTAAATGCCTCCAAATACTGAGTGCTTATCTAACAGAAGAGTTCATAAAAACTGAGACAAATGAGTTGCCTCTACAAAAAAAGGATCAAGAGGTCTAGTGAGATGATTCACAGTTAAAGCCTTTGCCATGCAAACAAAGACCAAAACTCAGATACCCATATCCCATATAAGCAGCAGGAGGCCTAGCAACTTGTAATTCCAGTCTTAGAAGGCAGGCTGGTACTGAAGTAGAGGTGTATGTGCACAAATGCACACAGAAAGAGGGAGAGAGGGGTTCAAGTACTGGGTCAAGACTGAGTCGGACACTTGCCTTTGACAATTACAGGTATTTTTTAATTACAATTTTGTTTTGTATGCATGTATGGGGGAACACAGTACAAGTTGCAGGAGTTGGTTCTCTCCTACCACATGTATCCTAGGGATCAAACTCAGGTCTTGATGGCAAGTGTCTTTACCACTGAGTCATCTTTCTGACTCCAAATAGTATTTTTAAAGTTAAAAAAAAAATTTAAAAATTCAAAGCTAATTAAGACTGACCAAATGTGGTGTATATATACAAAATACTATCTGTTAAAGATTCAAATCTTGCAGCAAGAGAAATGGAGGACATAAGAAGAATAGCATAGAATAGCACCACACATTGTCACCCAGATTCAGAAACCACAAGTTGATCTCACAGACCAAGGCAGACCAGGGCTGAGGCTAGAATCAGAAGGATGAAGGAGGAAGGAGGCTGAACAAGATACAATTAGAAATGAAGATGTTCTTAAAACACTCTGGGGTAGGATAACGCTTTCCCTCAGTCTCCTGAGTTCCACCACGTTAGGGTCCCAAATAACACACAGAGACTTATGTTAGTTACAATGCTGTTGGCCAATGACTAGGATTCCTTATTTGCTAGCTCTGTCTTAAGTATCAACCATAACCATTAATCTATATATTTTATAAAGACTTATCAAGGATGCCGGCAGAATGCGTCCTGTCTTCCTGGAGATCACATGGCGACTCTTGTCTTTACTACATTTTCCCCAATCTTCAATTCCTAGCCCCACCTATCTTGCTTTCCTATTGGCCAACAGTGCTTTATTTATCAACCAATAAGACAAACATATACACAGAAGGACTCCCCCGTCACAACTAGAGTTTATAACTCATTATATTTTTTAATGAACCAGCAAAGTTTGTATGACACATACTCAAGGAGAAATAATCTGATTTGGAGATTATACAATATATACATGTACTGAATTATCAAATGGACCCTACAAAATATGTTTACTTGTGTGCCAAAATGGCTTTTTTTTTTTTTTTTTTAAGAGACAAGGTCTTGCTCAAACTAGGGCTGTGCTCAAGCTGCTCTGAACCTCTATTCCTCCTGCATGTCTCCCAAGTGCTGGCATTACAACTGGGACCACACACCTAACTTTTAAGTTTTCCCTGTTTATGGTGTGTGAGTATGTGCTTGCGCATTTGCATATGTCAGAGGTCAATTCCAAGGGCCCATTAGGAGCTTTCCATCTTGCTTTATGAGATAAGGTCTTTCACCAGGACCTGAGACTTGCTGATTATCCTAGTTCCTAGGCTGACTAGCCAGGGAGCCCAGGGACCTTCTGCCTCTCCCTCTCCAAGTAATGGAATTAAAACAAATTTATTTTACATGCATGGGTATTTTGCTTGCATGTATTTCTGTGTACCATATACATGTTTGGTGACCACAGAGGCCAGAAGAGGACATCAGATTCCCTGAAACTGAAGTTACAAACAGTCGTACGCCAACATGTGGGTGCTGGGAATCATACCTGGGTCCTCTGTGGAGCACCCAGTGCTCTTTAACCACTGAGCCATCTCTCCAGGCTCCGTCATCCCCACCCTACCTTCTCAAACTCAGGTCCTCATGCTTGTGTGACAAGCACTTTACCAACTTCCTAGCCTCTGTTAAAGTCTGTTCTTGACAGCTCCACCTTGAGGGCAGGCTCACTGGAAGAGAGTGGCAATTCATCTTCCCCATGTTGCCTGCTCAGCACAATCACTCAAAATTTTAACAAATCAAAACCTTGATTTGTACCATTATTAAAACTTTAGATAAAAAAAATTCCTAGTTGATCATTTATCTATTTGCAAAGAGGTGTAATATCATGCTGATTAATAAACTGACAAGGGATATAAGAAAAATATGAAACTTCTCTTGCTTATATTAAAAATCCTATCATAATAATTAGCTAGGGTTTTCTTTTACAGGGTTCTTTCTTTTTGGTCCTACATAAACCTGGGTAATTAACTATGCTAGAGCAAGGGTTAGTAAACATTTTCTTAAGGGGACATACAGTAAATATTTAGGATTTCTGAACCTAGAAACAAATCTGGTCTCTGCTGCATCCACTCCTCAACTGTGCCATTCCATTTTCTCTGTGTATCCTACCATCTAGAGTGCCAATAAGTCAGGGGTCAGAAGAAGAATTACACATCTCATCTGAAAAGTCCAATTTTTTGGTTTCTAACTGGAAACAGAATACAAAAGGGACTGGAGTCCAGGCTTTTGTTTTGCACTACCCGTGTAATGGTCACACTATCCTTGCTCTTCCTAATTTGTGCAGCAGAGCAAAGCGGAAAGGACTGGAGAGTCTTTAAGCATTCTAATTCAGAAATTCCATGTCATGTTACAAGTATAAAAGCGATTAAGTTGGAGCTAGAGATGGCTCAGAGGTTAAGCGCACGGGCTGCTCTTCCAGAGGTCCTGAGTTCAATTCCCAGCACCCACATGGTGGCTTACAACCATCTATAGTGGGATCTGATGCCCTCTCTGGCATAAAGGCTGACATGTAGATAGAGCACTCAAATACATAAAATAAATCTTTAAAAAAAAAAAAAAAAGGCTATTGAGTCACCTCTGTGATTATTACAGTTTTCCACACTCAGGATAACAATCTGCACCACATTTTGAATACCAAAACCTTAGAACATTTACAGGCACTCTTAAAAAAATACATTGGGGGAAATTTATTATTTCGCTTGGACTAAAGTTTTTTCATTTTCCAAACCACTCAGTTTTAAATCTGTGAAAGTTCAGAATTCCTGACTTAGCCTTGCTAATCTAAAAAACACACAAACAACAACCAAAATCATGTATCTTTACAAGCTACTACTTAAGTCAGGACATGGCTGTCAAGACATCCTTTCATCAGTCTTCTATTTCCTGAGCAACAAAAGTGGCTGTTTCCTGCTGCATTCTAATATATACAGCTTTGTCATGAAAGTTACCAAGAACGCACAAGCCAGAATTCTACTCACGAGGACTGCTCTATTTCACTGATTTTAGCTAAATGAATGTGTTTGCATACGTATCAAAATGTGGAATACATTCATGCTGATCACCAGATTACTGCTATGCTAAGCTATAAAGTAAATGCTCAGGATGGCAGAGACCATAGCATATATGGAGCTAGGCTTTTTAATGAATCATTTCATTGCTGTTTAAATATCAGCAAAATAAACAATCACCCCTTGCCATTTCAAAGGCAACTTTCAGTAAATACAATAGCTTCTACTCAAATATGCAAAGGTCAGGAAAGCCAAACAATTTACATTTAAAGCAGCAATTATGCTAGCTTTAACATAACAATTAAAAGGTATCTTAAAAGATATTTGAAACTAAAAACCTATTTCAAGAACTGAAAGCTTTTAAAAAATGCTCAAAACTAGCTCTGATAGAAAAGCTTTCCAAATAGCTGGTTACTATCAATTAGACTGCAAAATGTTAACCCAACAGAACTTGTAACATATACTGTATAAACCTGAGAATGTGGATAGCTATGCTGCATGCAAAGTGCCTGTCCTTCTAACTTAATAGTTTTCCTGTGGGGCTAAGAGATGACGGTGTATTGTTGAAGGAAGACAATTAAGTGATGAAGCCATTACCAGATAATTTGACCAACTTGAAGAATACAAAGCCTGTTTTCACTGGCAGAGTAGAGAAAACAGGTTCCCTTAGCTATCAACAATGGTACAACATATCTCTGTATGTGTCAAGTGATATCAAGGGCTTCTTATTTGCACATAGTAAATCTAAAACAACTAAGTCCACAAACAGAAAAGGCTAGAGCCTCAATTATTACTGGGAGATCTTTTCTATAAAGCAATGAAACTGTTGCTTTTAGAAGAGACTAATATTAAAGGTCTTGGTGTGTGTTTTATTTATTTAAAAATAAATAAAAATTTTAAAAAATTGCAAGTAAGGGGGACTGGAGAGATGGCTCAGTGGTTAAGAACACTAGTTGCTCTTCCAGCACCCAAGTGGTGGCCTGCAACCATCTCTACCTCCAATCTTAGGGGATCCAATGCCCTCTTCTGGTTTCTACTGGTACCAGGCACACACATGGTGTCCAGACATTAATGCTGGCAAAACACTCATACATATAAAATAGTTTTAAAAAATACAAGTTAAAGATTTGAAATTATGTATCTCAGTTGGATGGCACTCTCCTGGCATACATGGGATCCTAGGTTTGATTTCCAATACAACAAAAGTAAATTTAAAAAGTAAAAGCAAAACAAACAAGAAGCAAAGCTGAAACAGAAAAACAAGAAGAAAGTGAAACAGTATACAAAAAGACTGAAGTGAAAGCTTTTCATTTCCAAACTGAAATATAGCAATATTTTAAAAATATCTGGAGTTCTTTCAAAATGCCTTTTGGGAATGCCCCATATGACACATCTGTTTTTTGAATGGTGCCCTCACTAATCAATACAGGAAAGTAAGGCAGAGTCTCCTCAACACAATCTGTCATCACGAAGATCACTGATTTCTTTAAACCATTCTGGGTCTAGGTGCAGAGAGTGGATTTTGGAAACTGGTGGCTAGTATGGGAATCACTTCTAAGCCACCCATACACAGGAAGATTCCCTGTTTAGTAACTAAAACCATGAGGGCTGATGACATGAAAAGACAAACTACCTCAATAACAGCTCCCTGGCTAGTCCTGCTCACCTGAATGGCTGCGAAAGCCAATGCTGCCCAGATAACATGCATCAGGATCTCTTGTAGCTTCTTCACAACCAGAGCCTCACATCCCTGTAACACACAGCCTCGTTAGACCTGTTTCTAAAGAGAAAGCTGCAGACACACAAATTACTACTCATTGGCAGCAATGGCAATGAAAACAACTAGTGATTAGAGTAACTTATCATACACAATTAAAGCAAAAGACAATGCACTAAAATATTTATAGTGAAACAAAATGTCATTACAGTCAAGTAAAAAGATTGAAAAGAAGTCCCCAGGGCAGTGACTAAATAATGAAAAGAACAGTTCAAACTCACCTCAGCGTAGAGGTCGGAGGGGTTGGCCAGGCTGCCATTGCAGCTTTTGGCAGTCTCTCTGCAGCAGCTAAGAGGAACACTCTGGTTTTTTGTTTCTTTGAACCAATCTGTATTTTCCCAGTCTGAATAGTTATGAATTCCACAACAGTGCAACTGGATAAGAGAGAGATTCCTTAGGTAACTTACGTAGGTGTCTGTGTTGAGCTCTGTGCACTACAGAGCTTTAACAAACTACTCCTGATCAGTGATCTCAGCAGAGCTCTCTACAGTGAAGCACACACCACATCTGTACAATCCAACCCGGAGCCACTACCCACATGAGGATGAACTCAGCACTTAAAATAAGGTTAGTATGAATGAAGAACTGGATTTTCAATCTCAGTGTAAATATGGCTGAGTTCTAGGATCTCTATGTGAAACCTATACTGCATAAGAGGTGGTTTCTGACCAAGGAAATGTTCCTATCTCTGGAAAAAGAAAAAAGAACGGGGCAGAGGACAGATATGCAGGACAGGAATGAATGGGAACCAAACTCAGGTGCTCTGCAAAACAGGACATGCTCCTAACCACTAAGCCATCTCTCAGTCCCCAAATACACCTTACACATTAAAATATCCAACTCTGAGCTAAGTATCATTTCCAATGGCAAAATGCTTAAGCTTTATTGAAATGTCTGTGACTTAATTTAAGAAAATAAAGCAACAAATAGGTATATATGATAGTTGAAACAAGACTGGCAAAAAGCAATAAACGGAGACAGGGTTGCAGGAACACACTCTCGTACAGCTGTGGAGGTTCACGCAGCCCACATACACAGAAAGAGAAGAACTAGTTTCTGTGGACTCAGGCGCAAACAACCTTCAAGGAAGCTCACCTGTCTCTGTACATAGTCAATAGCACGGCTGGCAGCATCAGGGTTGGTCCCATTGTAGGTCTTATATACTTTCTGAATGCTTCGATCAACTTCATTCTCCACCTGAATCAAAAGAAAGATTCCATCCCTCAAAAAGGCTGCTCAAAGTAACATCAGTTACAGCATGTTTCCAAGTTGCCAGAGTACTCTGTACACTTACAGTAAGAAAGAGACTTCCTGCTCCAGTTAGATTCAAACTAGCAGCAAACAGTTCAGATCCACTAAATCACACAGGTTAATAGCCTTCAAAAAGACTATGCTAAAGAGGCTAGCAAAACAAGCCAGTCAAAAAGGACAAAGCAACTGTGCACTGGGGAGCTGCCCAACTTGTTGATATCAAATGTCTACAAAAATAATAATAGAATTTGTACTCGGCTATATCGAGAACAGAAGTATTATAAATAAATGCTAATTAGTCTTAGGTATTTTAAAGCAGTGGCTTTGCTGAAATAAGTCATGTGTGAGTGAGTCACCATGGACAACATACCTTTGCTCTGTACACGTATCCCAAAACCACAACAACAACTTCTGTGACAAAAACCAAGAGCAGGATGAAGACAAACTGTAAGACAACATCGTCAAAAATTAAGTAGAGATTAAAATAAATAGTTCTAAACATTTTCTTAATAAGTGTTAAGCCAGGCGTTGGTGGTGCACGCCTTTAATCCCAGCACTCAGGAGGCAGAGGCAGGCGGATCTCTGTGAGTTTGAGGCCAGCCTGGTCTACAGAATGAGTGCCAGTATAGGCTCCAAAGCTACACAGAGAAACCCTGTCTCGAAAAAAAATAAATAAAAGTATATGAGACAAACCTTTAGAAGCTAAGAAATGTGTTCATTCTGGTGCAGTTTTAAGAGGCAAGGCATCTACATCTACAGAACTTCACCCTCAATTCAAGAAAGAGACCCAGATGAAACAGCCCCCATAGTCTGACATGTGGTGAATGAAGTGTTTGTTAACTTACGGTGGCGAGTCCACATCGACTCTCCCGGATTGTAGCACAGCAGCCAATTAGGCCAATAATAAAAAGCAGGGCTCCTACAGCTATGATCACCACCGCAGGGAAGAGCGTGTACACGTCCTCAAAGAAGTGGTCATAGTCGTCATAAGTAATGAAGACATAGGCTCCCACATAGCAGAGAATACCAGCTGCCCCCTGTAAAAGCAGGAAGAAACACCAGTCTGAATGCCGTCACTGTAATTTTCCAACTCTTGTTTGGGTTGTATTTTTTTTCTTGTGTCTTGTGTATCCCAGTTGACCTTGAATCCCCTATGTAGTCAAGGATGGCCTTGAATTTCTGACTTCTCTTTCAAACACGGACCGTGGTGCTGGGGATCTAACCCAGGGCTCTGCACCTGTCATACACTCTACCAACTGAGCTGCTTTCAACCCAAGAGGCTATAGTCAAATGAGATTTTCCACCACTCTTAAATCAGTAAAGCTAAAACTTCCTGATTCATCATTTAAAATGCTTTTGTTATTGTTGTTTTTGAGACAAGGTTTCTCTGTGTTCCCCTGGCAGTCCTGGAACTCATTCTGTAAACCAGGCTGGCCCCAGAACTCAGATCCACCTGGTGGATTAAAATCATGAGTTACCACCCCTGGCAAAATTCTTTACTACATAAAATTTCAAATTTTATAAACCTCACCTTATTTTCAGTAGAAAAAACCAAAAAACCAAACAATGACAAGAACTCACTTTAACTGTATTCTAAAAGTAGAGAAATGATAAAAGGGACAGAGTTAGAGCTTGAGCTCAGGCAAATTAACTCTTAAAAAAAACCTCTATTTAGCTTTCTTAATAAACTATTAGTAAAAATGAAACCAAAAACATGTTGTCCTAGAGACAGTAAAGCAAAGAGCCCAGGCTTAGGCACACTACAAACCTTTCTCCGTCTACTCATTCTTTTTTGTTGTTGTTTTTTAAGACAGGGTTTCTCTGTGTAGCTTTGGAGCCTGTCCTGGCTCTTGATCTGTAGACCAGGCTGGTCTTGAACTCACAGAGATCCACCTGCCTCTGCCTCCCAAGTGCTGGGATTAAAGGCGGGCGCCACTAACACATGGCCATCTACCCATTTTTTAACAACATGATCCTCAAATTCAGTAATCTCAAATGGATCTGAGATTCTACATTTCTAACAGGTTCCCACCAAGGCCGCATGGTTTGGGGCCGCACTTGGAGTCATGGGTACTGGAACACTTAAGAGGAAGGTGAGCACAGAAAGCCTTATTCCAGCTCTGGGACTCTTCTCCAGGGGAAACTTTATACATTCTCCATCACTTGTGGTTTTATGAGCACTGGGCCCCAGCTCTGTGCTTACTGCTTGCTACCTGCATATAGACAAGTAGGCACATAGTGCCAGGCTATGCTAAATTGTTTGTTTTAGAGGGCAGAACTTGCAGAGCTGTCACACAAGCGTGATTACTTCATCTTTGAAAGAGTAAACATATAAATCTTCAAACTAGCAAACAGCTTCCACAGTTAACATTAAAGATTACCATTCAATCCTCTGAACCTGAAAACTCAGTTCAGTTATGAAGTCTATTAGGTTCAGTATGCCTGGACACCACAGGTCTAATAATACATCATTACATTCACTGTCAGATCCAGAAAAAGGAGGTTCAAGTACTCATTTACACACTTACACACACACACACATACACACACACACACACACACTCAGTCACTCACAAGATTTTTTTTTTAATGGGATGAGAACTTCAGGCAGTACTCTAGGTACTCCCACCACCTTATTGTGTGCTCGGTAAACTATTTTTCATAATTGAATGGATATACTAATTAAGAATAATAAAATGTAAATAATGGAGATACTATTTTTTAGATCATCTCTCCTCCACTGCTAGTTTTTTCTCTTTTCCTAGCTGCTTGTATTCTCACTCTCACCAAGGATTCCTTCAGCTCTAGGGTGCCGTCACACTTCATTTCTGCCTAAAATCCAGCTCACTTGCACTCAGCCTCTTTGCTGAACCTTGACGTCACCTTACTGCAGTGCTAGTCTTAACCTAGGCTGCCCTGAATCTTAATCCCAGACTCTCACTCTGCCCCTTGATATGTTCTTTATAAGAGCTATTGTTGCTAAAACTATGAACAGGGTGAAGCCTAACCGGTGCCCATTTTAGTGACTTACGCTGTTCTGTCTCTGGTTTTACATTCTTAAGACTCCATCACCTTTCACACATACTCTCATTTTACACCTCTGCTCCTGTGTGGGACTTTGTTTATGATCTAACAAATAAAGTTTGCCTGAAAATCAGAGTGCAAAGCTAGCTAGCCACAGAGGCCAGGTGGTCCACATTTAATCCCAGCACTCGGGAGACAGAGGCAGTTCAAGGCCACCCCGAGCTACAGGAAATTGATCCAGTCTAAAGAGAAACAGCTCACATAAAGGTGATCTCAGCACTTTGGATCCCACACCTTTAATCCCAGTATTAGAGAAGAATATAAGGCGGGAGGACACAAGAGCTCAGTGCAGTCTGAGGAGCAGTGTGGTCTGAAGATGCAGTCTGAGGACAGGACCACCCCTTTGGTCTGATCGTTGGTAGAGGTGACAACTCTCTAGTGGCTAGCCGCTTTGCTTTTCTGATCTTCAGCTTGAACCCCAATATCTGTCTGTGGTTTTTTGTTTTCAATACCAGCTAGAATTAGCACTATACTCCCGTTTTACTAACTTGGATGCAGCGTACGGATCACCGTTTCCTCATGGAAGCCATTCTTAGCTGCTCACCCTTCAGCCATTCACATAGTGCCCTGAGCAAACACAAATAGGGCATTTTTTCTTTTTTTACAATGGCTCAATTTAACTATTTCTTAATATATGTTTTTTACAATGGCCCAACTTAACTGTATTTCTTAGTATACCTCCAGGGCACAGATTGCGCCTGTTCACCTCTCAGCCCTATGTCACCAGACGTATCACTTCAAACAGTGCCTGGCACGACCAAGTATCATGTTTACCGAGAAGCCCTCACCATACCCTCCACCTCTACAGAAAGGAAAGCTGGCTTTAGCTGGCTCTCATGTTTTCTCATCTGTCCAGTCAATGCTCAGTTCTCAGTTTACTACTCAAATACAATGTGGTAACTAATTCTGCTTACTGGATTCTGATGGGCACCACCTCTAGAACACAATGTAGGTCATAGTCAGTAATCTACCATTAAAACAATGCTACACTAAGAGCTAATAGACCTGTTGAAATTCACCTACACATCTGCTTTTGGGGTACATCACTGTGGGATGAGAAAAAAGATGAGGCGTGTAACAATGTCTGTAACAATGTCTTACCAAAACACTTTCTCAACTACATACATGCTATATATTCACAAACATGCATATAAAATAACATTTTACTAAAGCAAATAATTCAGTCTTCAAACATGAATTAATCAAATTGTGCTCATTGCTTTCACCAAACTTTAAATAAGAACTGTTCCTATAGAGTTATTTCTTAAAAGGCTTGTGGGGGAGGGTTGCCTGTGTGGTGGCCATACTTTTAAGCCCAGCACCCAGGAGGCAGAGGAAGGCAGATTTCTATGAGTTCAAGGACTGCCTGATATAAACAGTAGTTCAAGGTAGGTCAAACCTACAGTGAGACCCTGCCTCAAAATGAAGGGGTAGGGGATTAAGTGGAAATTGTGGCAAACATCTCAAAAACAAAACAAAAAGTTTTAATTAAAATGATTTTGGGAGGTGGTAGTGGCTGGAGAGAAGATTGCACATACTACTTTCCAAAGGACCATACTACTTTCCAAAGGAGTTCAGTTCCTGTCACCCACATCTCCAAAGGATCCAACATCCTCTTCTGGATTCTGCAGGCCTGATCACTCGTGCACATATACTCAACACCCCCACTCCCCACGAACGCACATAATTTAAAAATAAAAAACCAACCAAGATGCTCAATGGTTAAGAGCATACACTGTGTTTCCAGAGGACGACTAAGTTTGATTCCCTGGATCCAAACTGGGCCGCTCAAAACTGCCCATAACACCTGTTCCTGTCCTGGACAATCCAGTACCCTCTTCTGGTCTCCACAGACAACCACATCAAACGCATGTGTGCACACATGACACAATTAAAAATAAATCCCAGGGCTGGAGAGATGGCTCAGTGGTTAAGAGCATTGGCTGCTCTTCCAGAGGACCAGGGTTCAATTCCCAGGACCCACATGGCAGCTCACAACTGTCTAAAACTCCAGTTCAAGGGATCTCTCTCTCTCTCTCTCTCTCTCTCTCTCTCTCTCTCTCTCTCTCTCTGAATTCCCATGGTTCCTTTTTTGTTTGGGCCAGTTGTGTACCTAAGGTCTCTCAATATAGGAAAAATACCAATGCACATAAAATGAGCCTTATATAAATAAATAAAAGTGTAAAAATAAATCTCTTTTTTAACTTTCTGTTTAAGTATAGTGTACTAACCAATTGTGTCATCAGGCCCAGCTAGTAAATGAAGTTTTAGCCTAGATAAATCTGAATCAAAATGTAACAAGAGGATACAATACTCAAAAATATTCAGCACGGGGCACTGAGGAACCACTTGTGTTTTAGAAATAAAGTGAGCTTTTAGCCTAAAGAGATTCCTATGAGACTCACACTTAGTATGACTGGGAATGGGCCATGTGAAATGTCTCTTGGGCTGTCCCCCTCTCACCAGAGTGAGGCAGGCACTCCTCTGAAACTAAGCACAAGAATGTAGGAAAACAAACCAAAACTGGATGCAGAAAACCCAGTGAAAGGCAAGGTAAGTGGTCCTACCTGTAAATATTACTCATTATTTGAAAGATGACAGATGAGTCAGTCATGCTGCAAACCATTCAACAGGCAATGCTCACAGGAGAGGTGACTTTGTCTATTCTTCAACATCAGTAGGAAGTAATTTAAGAGTTAGACACACCAAGTAGATATTGTACTCCCTGCTGAGGACAGTCTAACAGGGGTGCTTGTCTCTTTTAAATGATGTCTGGAAATACAGTGGCCAAGAAACCTAAACAATTCTAAGTATCTGCCTTAATGACATCCAACCATCAGCATAAAAAAAAAAGAAAAATAGCCAAACAAGATAAATAGTAATTTGCATAGTCAGTTGCAGGGAGGAGCATAAGTAATTCTTACTAATGATGGGAACTTAGTAGTCACTCTGATTTTTAATGCAGATGGAACATTATTAGAAAACC